GTGACCGTCAGGCCCGGCTGGCAGCCTCCGTCCGTCCGATCATGATCCGATCATGATCCGGCCCGCCGGCCCGCCGGGCCGGCGGGCCCGGCGCGGCTCAAGATCAGGCTCCACGCGGCCGCGGGCTGGGGCCGTCACGGCGTGGTACTGAGCCCGCTCAGTACCCGGCATACCACAGCCAACACTGCCGCAGTGCGGCCAGTCACTGTCGGTCTTCAAGCCCGGCCTGGTCTGACGCCGGGGCCCCGCGAGCCCGGCCGCGCAGACTCCGGGCGGCTACCGGGGCGGGAGTAGAACGGATTTAAGGAGAGAGGAGGAGAGGAGAAGAGGAGGAGGGGAGGAAAGAGGACAACAAACTGAAGGCGAGAACAGGAAAGGAGAAGAGAGGAGGAGATGAAATGATCTTTACACGTTCTCACCCGCCTTCTCATCTTCCTGCCACTGACTTTCTCGCCCGTTCGCCTCCTGCTCATTGCTCAGGACCGAAATATTCGCCTCTTCATGGCTGTCTGCTGAGGAAACATCCCCTTCCACTCAAAAGTCTACACAGCAATCTGGCACATTCTGCTTGTTTGCTCGAACTTCCACAAGAACCTATCTTGCTATCTTGCTACCTATCTTGCTACCTATCTTGCTACCAAACACACCCAAATCTGTGCAGCGAACATCTCAAACCCGGGACAGGATGTTTCAACAGCAAGTGAATTAAAGATTTCATGACACTCGGCTCAACACGTTATGAACAAAAACCTCTCATAACAATCAAAACACGCGCTGAAGGTAGAAGCGTTTGTACGATTGACCCCTGGCATTCAAAGCATTCATCATCCCCATGAACTTGTGCACAAACCAACATGCTCCCCACCCTTCCCATTTCAATTCTGCCATCCTTTCGCTCCTAACATGCTCCCCCATGCCTCTTCTATCGTTTGCAATGAACAAAGAACAGCTATTGCACATCCTCACTCCAACTGGGACTGATGCTGACAGTCGTATCGCATGTGAAGGCAACTTTGATCCCTGCACTCAACCTCTCATCGTCTCTTCTGAGTTTTCACAATCATGCGGCTGAACTTGAAGGTTGTAGAACTTGGAGAACAGCTCCCAAAAGCTCCGAGTGAACTCTCCGAGCTCAATCTCTACTAATAGTCTGACAGCCTGACAGTGAAAGTATGATAGCAGAGAACTGGAAGGAGCCGCAGGCTGTGGATCCGAGAGGAGCAACCGGCGTGGCGTGACATGACAGCTTGCAACTTGACTGGACTCGGGCAGACTGCCGGGAGGTCAACTTGTACCTCATAACTGGCACGGTCCGATCCGAGGCTCGAGACTGCGGATCACCAGATGATCATCCGACCGTGTCGCGGCTGCGTCCGAGAGCCTGCCTGTGGGGAGCAGAGCATCCGATGATCTCGGAGTACGGCATTCGGCGGCCTATCGGCGCAACTCGCAGAGTAGCGTACCGTACGGTAGTACCAGTAGGCCGGGCCCGGCCCTGGGGCGTAGGCGGTCTGGTGGCCGGTGGGCTTCGGAGCGGCTCCGAGGCTCGGCGACTGGTCCGATCGGCTCCAGCCGGCAGGGCCCCGGGCCGGGCCCCGGACCGTACCGGCCGCCGGGCGTCCGCCCGGGGATCGGACTCCGGCCGCCCCGGCTCTTTAGAGTATTAAAAAGGGCTTACCTATTGATTCTTAACTTATCTTTGAGTAAAATTCACTACTGCCAGTAGTTCATTTGGACATGCCCGGCCCGGGTGTATCGTACCCAGGAGGAAAATGACAAGGACCGGTACTGTGTCCACCTTTACGTCTCAATGTACCCCTTTGTCTTCATCACCCACCCTCAAAATATCCTTTTTCAACCCATAGGACCCCGTACACAAAGTATGATATCCACCCCAAAAATATTGTTTCCTTCTGCACCTGGGTACTGTTGTCTACCCCACCCCATCCAATCGATTCAAAGAGCTTTTTTTGTACCGTGCTGTGAGAGGAGATGATGTGAGGTAGGGGTGGGGTCCTTGTACAAACTCTTAGAAAGCATGTGACCTGCTTGGTACTCCGGTATGAAAGGGTGGGGTAGTAGAATGGGAAAAAGGGGGTCAAAAAGGAGACCAACAAGAAGGAATCGGGGAACGGTTTTTCCAAGAGGGGTGGGTGGTTGGCCCCAATAGGCCGTTTATGCCGACAGCAAGGGCGGGGATCGTGGAAGCAAGGCTCAGCACGATCTGAGTAGGGAGAGAGAACATTCAGAAGTGAAGATCAAGATTAGAAGACAACAAAGGAGTGTTGTCTATTTGAGGATAAGGAAGGGATTGAAACCCTAGGCGAGAGAGAGGGGGAGAAAGTGAGTTTGTTGGATCCGCTGCCACGGGAAGTTCACTTCTGGAAGGCTAGCACGTGGGTAAGAGCACTGTTTGTTACAGTATTACGAAACCCAGATGTCTTCTCCGAACCTTGATGTTGAGAGAAGCCCTTCGGAATGGGAAAAGCTATTTCTGCAAGAGCGCGAAGAAGTGATGTTTGATCAGGCGGAGTATGAGTTCGAGGACGATGGAAACGTCGAAAAAGTAATCTGGAACAGAAAACTGTCTCTTGACCAAGATATTATGGAGCTGATGATGGCTTTTGAGTCTGCAAAACTTGACGGCTTCATCACTGTCACCAACGGAAGCTATGAAGAAAGTCTTTCCCCTGCCATCAGTAACGACGCAACTTCGTGCAGCGAAGATTTTCTCTCGCCTTTGCGCCTGCTCAATAGGAGGAGAAGTCTACATGGTCGATCCCCAAGGCAAAATAGAGCCTTGTCACTTTCTCTTCCACTTTACCTGGGGGCTTCAGAGGGGTCTTCGTACACCTCTCCTCTCATTGCTGAAATCCGGAAGGAGGAGTCGCCTTTCAACATTTACAGGAAGTCGCCTGTTTCCAGAAAGTCTCTTCCTGCAGTTTTGGAATTCTGAGGCGAAAGTTTGCTACAGGAGCATTTCTAGTCAAGCTCACAGAATTGTTTTCCATCCATAGAAATTGTCTCTTAGGTGACCTTGTGCTGCAAGATTTTCCAACCACCTACGATAGTAAATAAACTTATAAATATCAGATAGAAGAGATCAAGCTCTACACAATAAACGTTTGCTCAACATTATGTATTATCCCCCTCGTCAAGATCTTCATATCATCCAGCAGGTCATTGCAGCAATGGAAGTTTCTTCAGCAAGGGACCGATGGTAGATTTCGGGTATGGCAGTGTTGCTAATGCTGTTGGAGTGTCTTCTGGCTGCTCAACCCAGATGCAGTGAAGCAATCCTGTCACACTGGGTAAGATTATGCGCAACACTCGCGTGAAACGATGAGTTGAGATACCTGCCTCTTCCAATCTGCCTGCAAACTTCTCCAGCTGCTTCCTGTCCTTCACGCCAAGAACCACCTTGTGCATTGAGTTGATTTGACCGCAATAGTCGATCACATTTTGATGTTCTTTGTACTATTCAAACCGTGTCAATCATTCCGGTTAAGTGTAAGAAAGTTTGGTTTACCTCCCACAGGGCCTTTGTCACAGCATGGCAGCCCTGAGCCACAACGCTCCCTGCAGGCCACGGCAGGTCTTTCCGTATCAAGACATACTGCACGAGATAGTCCCCATTGGCTTCTTGCTTCGGAGCTTCTCCGGGGCTCACTTCATCTGAAGCCCCTCCACGCAATGCAGTGCGGAAGGACTTGGATGTAGTCATGGTTGGGAATGGAGCGACAAGATTTCTTGTCACAACTGGGCAAGGGCTGATATGGGGGGCAATCGAGAAGCCTTGGGAGCTTCTGCTCGACAAAACAAGGAAAAACGTAGCTCGCAAAAGGATGGGTTGTATCAGTTCTCTGGAGCACAACATCGTGTTGGATCGTCCTCGCGCGTTTGAGGTACACTGCTGGGGGGATTCTAGGCAGGCACCTGGGGGGAATCCAGGCAGGCACCTCGAAAGCAGGGAGATTGGATTTCAAGCTCAGATCCACTTTTTTGCTCCAGCTCGAAGATCTCTTGGACACCTTCACGCAAGACTATAATATGATGGCATGATTTCCAATTAATCTATGCCGAATGAGCACCTAGCATGAAGACGCCTCTTGCACGAGTGACTGGCAATGAAACCATCTCTTGCAATCTCCTCGTCTTCTCACCATGGCATCAGGAAGTACCTCGACAGCTGGATCCTGGCCCGTTCCTCTCAGTATGGCCTCCAACTTTCAGTGCCGAAAAAAATAAGCAATATTTTTTCAGTAGTTCTCACAAGCCGCCCTCATCAGCTTTCTGCTGCCTTCTACCGGGACAGCAATCGAAACATGGCGATGAGAGGAACACACGCCTGGAAGTGTGGAAGGCGAGGTTCTCGAAGTAATCCTCTGACAAGAAGCAGTCGGAAAGACTCTCTTGTTGGCACTGATCATCTACTGGTCAACAAGCTACTGCAGGACACGACTGACTCGTTACTCGCTGCCTGTAGGTTCCAACCTGCGAATCTGCAGGAACATGTTGATGGGCCGAGCAGAAGAGACCCCAGTCCTGAAACAAATCTACTGCAGCTTATTTCTATGATTGTCTATGTGTTCCTTGACAAATTTACTCAAGACAACCTTCTTTCCCCAGAACTTGCAATCAACATTCACCAGACAGCGCACTAGTGCCTGTGTACCAATCACACTGAAAAAGTTATGCAACCGATCAAGTTTGCATTTATTCTGCCCTCCTCTTTATACAATTGCAGATATCATGCATCCAGAAACGATCCACTTCCGTTATGCGCACAAATCTGTTATCTAACCCCAGTGTGTAAAGTATCCCATCAGCTGTTCTTAGAAAATGCAGCGAGCACCATGCTTTTCAGTTTCCAAGCATGCCTTTCTGGCCTTTGCTTCGCGATGACCCTCCATGTCCAACTGAACATCATTGTCAGATTAACGAATCGCCAAAGGGACATCAAAAGAAGTTCATTCGAGGCCAGGAAGGAAAACAAGGGCAAGCGATACATGAAACATCAACCCCGAACATCGGCAACAGGATACAGAAAAACAAGAATGCATTGAATGTCCAGGGACACGAGGGTTTGATTTTGATAAAGAAGTGTTCACGGCAATACATGGGACCCCATGCTGGCTGCATCTGACAGACATTGAAGACCATGGGCGTACTCGAACTACATGCAGCAGGGACAATCTTAGCATCTCGGGGAGTGCAAGGAGCTCACAAGAGTGCTCTTCTGCTTGGATGTCATCTTGTCCGGGTTCATGTGCTGCATCCATGCCGGAATCCCCCGCACGTGGAGCTCAAGGCCATGCACAAGCTGCGTCAACATGGCGGTAGTGGCTTTTCCGATCGATGCCACCCCTACCCCCTCCACATGAGTACCACCCTTAACACAATTCACCTTTGGAACTCTAGATTTGGAGAATATGTAATCAGTTTCAATTTTGGTAAGAGGGTCAGGGTACTGTAATCATCTTCGAGATGAATGATTTAGTGGAATTTATAGGGGTAGGGGTACAGAAAATAATATTTCCAGGTGGGGTAGTGTTAAAAATTTCGATACTGATCAGGAGGGTAGACTGATATGACCGGGTGATGAGGGTGGGCGGCAGAGTGGCTAGCCGGCCGTGAACTTATCCAACCTAGGGGTGGTGTATGTACTTTCTAGGGGGTACCGTCATTTTTCAATTTTTCCGTTCCTCCATTGAACTGGTAGGGGTACTGACCCACGTGTGATTTTGCACGGCGAGGTGAGGAAAAAGGAGGGTACTTTTATTCTCTGTACCGGTGCTAATGATGATTCGGTTTTTGGGTAGGTGGTGTATTGTTGACTGCAAAAAATAGTGTGCGAGGGTAGCGGGGTGGTATCACGGGGCTCAATTGAAGAGGGCAGAAACATAACATCGTGATAATTTAGTTCCCTCATTAGTAATTGTACCCTGATTTTATAGGGCAGCAACACCCACCCCCCTTCATCAGATCTGATATGGTTACTGGGGTACAATACATGTCGTCAAAGTTTCGTAGTGGGTGGGGGTGGTGAAGAGTCAGAGTGGCTCTTCAGGAAACCCTGGGCGACCGCAACGTCCCAATGTAACGGACATGAAATCAATTGCGTTTTAACGGTATCGTTGCAGTGCACTAACGTTTGTTGACGTCGGGATGGCCCTTGGGAATGCTTGTCACAAGGGAGCCTGCAGGGATGGCGGAGAGGACGAGGAGGAGCGGCAGATGAAGAGATAGTTCCTTTCACTGAACATCTATCAGAGTTCCTCGAGTGTTCTGACGGCCTCGTCATATACAGCTAGAGGACGATGTCGAGCGAGTCGAAGGGAGCGGTGGACTCTACATGGTTCAGGCCTGGCACAGGGGAGATGTTCGATTTGAGCTCAGTGGCAAGGTCCGTGTATGATGAGGTGGGGAAGGAGTTCGATAGCATTCATGCGAGGAAGAAGGAGTTTCAGCGAACGAGCTACAGGATGTCAAGGGATCTCTTCCTGAGACTGATGAGCCTCTGCTTCCTTTCCGCCTTCGGATCATTGTTCTATCAGATCCAGGGGCTTCTGGGTAGCCATGGCATGATCCCTATCAGCCAGAATCAAGGAGGTCAGTCAGACTCGCCGCTTTCCTCGTTCGCACACCATTCTTCGTGGGTGGGAGACGCAGTCCTTGACCTGCTGTGCATCGCGGGAGTAGGATCCAGCGTGGCGGGAGTTGCTTTCTCTCCTAGCTTCTACTCTCTCTTCGGGTCTTGGCTCATCTACCTTGTTCTGTGCAGTGCAGGAGTGTCTCTGCTCTCCTATGATGCCGACAAGCTGCTGCTGGAGAGCGGGTTCGTGGCATGCCTGATGGCTCCGCTATGGATCAGGGAGAGGAGGAGGGACAGCGACAACGTGCTGCTCCTCCTCATCCGCTTCGTTCTGTTCAAGTTCCTCATCCTGTCTGCAATGAACAAAGTGACGTCGGGGTACAAAGAGTGGTTCGATCTTACCGCTATCGAGTTCTCCTTCGCAACCAACATCGTCCCGACCCCTGCTGTATGGTACCTGCAGCTTCTCCCGAGTTTCATGTTTCAGCTTGCTGCTGGTTTTCAGCTCATTGTGGAGCTTCTTCTTTCTTTCTTCATCTTCTCTCCTTTTAGCTCAGTCAGACATGCTAGCGTGCTGGCGATTCTCATCACGCAGCTTGCTACGGCTGTTTTCAGCAATGAAGGATTCTTCTTCATGTTGAAAGTCTGTCTCCTCGTACCCGTTGTGGACGACTCTCTATGGAGCGAGCTCCTGTCCAAGTCACGGTCAAGCAGTGCGGAATCTGCAGAAGAAACTCCGCTGATTGACTTTGCTCTGCCGTTCTATGGAACAGAAACTCCCAAAGCCGAGGAGGAGGAGGAGGAGGAGGAGAAGGAGAGGACTGGTTGGTTCGCGGGAGTCTTCAAGTTCTTTGATGGCATTGTTGAAATCGGAGACAGGTCCGCAATTTTGATTTGTTGACCAGTTGCACCTGATCTTTTTTTGCCTTGAGTATGATGTGACCTTGATACAGTGTGGACGTATGCCATGTGCACCTGTTGTTTGTGCTTATGTTTTGCTTTTGCTCGTTTTGTCATTGATCATGATTGTCTCTCCAGAATGAATGACAGCAAGTTTCTCCAACTACCCATCTTCTGGTCGCATGTCGCCTTCGTTCTAATCATTGTCCTGTTCTTCATGTTTCGTGTGGACTGGGACGGGGAAAGCAGCAAATCTTGGATCGTCATCAGCCCAACTGTCGAACAGATGATCACGTTTCTCAACGTTGTTGTTCCTGTTACGATGCTTGTCTTGCTGGTCGTCTACATCTTCCTCGCCCTCCACGATGTTCTCAAGGAAGGGATGGTGATCGTCGATCAGCTCAGTGATGGTCATGGGAAGAGACAGACGGTGACTGCGAGCCTGTGAGTTTGATTCTCCTCCTTTATATCAGTCTCTTGCTTCTCTGTCTTCATCTCTTGCGTTCCCCTTCCTCTGTCTTTCCCTTGCTATGTCTCCATACCCATCTCTGCCTTGCTCTCGTTGATGTCATCATTCTTACATCTACGGGTCATCAGGTCTCTGCTTGTTCGGGTTCTCATCTGCTTCATCGGCCTCCTCCTCATCTACGCCAACCGCGTGGCCATCGGGAGCGGGCTTGCTAGGTCAAACTCGACGTTTCTGACAGAGAGAACGGGGGCACAGGAGGCGACGGGTCTCGTCGCACCCAACGGCCTTCAAAGTCGCTATGAGGGGAAGAAGGAGGAGAAGGAAAAGCGATGGCCGGCTGTTACCCGAGCCCTGCATGATCGTCACCTTCCGTGAGCTTCTACTTCTCCTTTCCCTTCCCCCCCTTCCTTTATTGTCCTGTCCTTTCTCCTGCTTCCAAGTCGCTTTTCTTTCATGTCCCTCGTCTCGCATCGTTTGCATCTCTATCTCCCAAGTTTTTCTCGTTCGCCTCTTCCTCCCGTCCCTCCCTATTTCCTCATCTTGAGAGCAGGTGGGGGAAGATGTTTTCAGACGTGCAGAACTTGGAGGAGGCGATCGGGTCCAACCCGACGCTGCAGGAGGGGAAGGAGGAGGTAGAGGAAGCCTGGGGTCGGTCATGGGCCGGCATGGCTTTCCGTCTCCTACAGCCCTTGAGAATCGTCAACATTTACTGGGAGGGAAGAGGAGGAGGAGGAGGAGGAGGAGAGAAGGAGGGCAGAAAGGGAGGGAGCCGGACGGAGGTAGTCCTCGAGGTATCCAGCGATCCCGAGTGCGAGGGAGGAGCAGGTAATTGGACACAACTGGACGTTTATTACCAGGTTGGGAGGAGGGACAGACCCCCTGGCTGGTCGCTCTTTCTGCTTCCCCGGCTCGAGCTGAAGCTCCTGGAGCTGATCGAAGTTGGTGACTGGCGGGAGGCGTCGTGGCTGGTCAATCTCCTTGCTGCTATCCTTGCGGGGCAGAATGCCAACTTCTTCCGTTCGTCAATTTTCCCCCATGACTCGAAGTGTGTCAGAGCAAGCAAGGTCCAGCTAGTTCTCAGCTCCTCCAGGCCAGCTGCCGCCTACTGGGAGGAGGCACAACGATCGACTAAGGTGGAGAGCGACTGGTGGGAGGTTGAGGTCCAGGAGACCTTCGTCCCGATCGTTTCGCCTGCTATGCTCGCCTGCACTCCCTTCCCCAGCTGCTTGCCAGCGGCTGAAGACAGCTCCAGCACATCCTCGGGCAGAAGGAGGCTACTCGCTACTTCCGCCATGTCGCCTGCTGCCCCGTCAGCCCGGGCTCAGCTGGAGACCTCGAGGGGGGCAGACAAGTTGGGAGAAGCGCTAAGCTCGCTGGGGAAGCTGACCAGGAGCTTCACGTCCGGCATGCATGTGGGAGGGGAAGAAACTGATGCTACTCATCAAGCGCTTCTCCACACGTCGGCCCCTCGTGGCCGACGGGTTAGTGGAAGCAGACTGAAAGGAAACCGATGGCTTGGAACAGGCTCAAGCACCAGCATTCCTCAGATGTGGAAGCTTGTCTCCTCCTCCTCCTCCTCCTCCTCCTCCTCCTCCTCATCATCATCATCATCATCATCATCATCATCATCATCATCCTCTAGCTCCAGCTCCAGACGTGTCAGGACAGGAAAGCTCGCTGGAGTTGCGACGGCGGAGCATATTGTACAAGATGAGCTTTACTATACTTGGGGAACAGGACTTGTAAGTTTTCTCCCTCTTTCCCTCTCCGATCACCGGCAGCTCATGCTGTGCCGTCCTTTCAGGTCCCTTCGTTTCTGCGAGGAGATGCCATGGTCGTGGTGGTGCTGCTGCTGGCAGCCTGGATCTTTGTCAAGCTTTCCTCTTTTATCGACTGGGAAGAAGTTGTTGATGCTCTCGTTGACAAGCAATCAAGAGACCTGGGCTTCTCCTTCGCTGCCCTCAGCCTGGTCGCTGTAATCTCCCTGATCATGGCCGGTGATGCTCTTGCTCGCCCGTGTTGACCTTCATCTGACAACTATGACAGAGCTTTGGTCCTTGTACCCTCTCGCCATCTTCATCGTGGCAGCGGCAGGCTGCGTCGTCTCAATCTACCTACACGAGGTGGATCGACAAGTGGAGGTGACGATAGCGTTGGACTTGTCGTCCTCCTACTGACACAGGACCTCCTTGATCAGTTCTACGGAGAAAGTTATCAAGCTGCCTGTGACATCTCCAACACCGTCTCCTGCTCTTCGTCCGTGAAGAAAGGATCCAACTCCATGTTCTTGGGCATTACTAACAGGTTCAGCCCTCGTTGTTGCTCCAAGTACTTGTTGATACCATTCCTGCAGCTCTGCTGGGATCGTCTACTATCTCGTCGTCGCTTTTTGCGTGCTCATCAAAGTAAGTTAGCACGTCCAACTGCCTGCAAGCTCTCAGCCAGATTTTCTGGCCTTTCCTTCTGACCTTCTTTGCTTTACATGCTTTTCCTACCTCTATTTGCAATGGGAAAGTATCTGAGAGTTTTTTGTTTGCAGATCTTTACCGACCAATACTGGCCGATAGTGCTTGCTTTCATTCTCACGGCCATGTACGTTGCTTCTTCTACCTCCCATTCCCCTCCCTCGACGGATTCCAACCCTTTCTTTCCTCTCGATCACTTCTCTTCTTGTGTTCCAATCCCTCCACCCTTTTCTTTCTCTCTCTTGTTCTCTATTTTTTCTTGAAGCTGACTGCTTTTTTTTCACAGAGGAGTTGTGTACTCGCTTTACTTGCTCTACTTCTCTCTCTCCGTTCTGCGCGTGCTATGCCCTCTATGTGCCTACGTCCACATCTTCAACTTCATATTGTTTTGGATCATGGTAGACTTCGCGGAGGAATTAAGGTGGCAATGAACCATGTAGCAACAAGAGTTCGTCTGTCGTCCTTAGAACGGAATGTCATCATCCCATGCAACATTCTTGGATCCTGGCAGTACCGACATCACACATAGCACTTCAACGCGCTCACTTCACCTTGGTCGAACGTCTTTGACTTCGGACGCGACTGGGTCATGCGTGGTTCTGCGACAATGAGCTCTGAAGCAACTCTACCAGGCAGTTTCACCTTCAGGAGCATCCCATTCCATCTCAGCGGGGTCAAGCTCATACGCAGAGCCTGTCAGTTTCTCTATTCTCCACGCCTGTCAAAGGAGCCGCGTCATGCAGGTTATGACAAGTCTTGCCTACCTGCAGGTTGGTAAAGTAACGCCCTTGCCACTGGCTGCCCCTGATGTTGAAGCTCACCCTGACCTTGTCGTCGACTTGGTACTGATCAATGAGAGAGCACTTGTCCTTTACAAGCTCGAACTTGACATCTTGTGGATACATCTCTTCTGTCTTCACTACAAACTCTCGCTTCATGAACCCGCTGTCAAACGTCATGGGCTGATTTATCAAGACTATCGTCCCCTCAATCTCAAACTGCAAGGACGTTTTTTAACTTCTGATAGCATGGGATCAATCTTCACCTTGTTATTCATCTGCAACTTGGAAAGTTTCAAATGCGATCGCATCCCGGGACATGGGACGGTTCGATCCAGCAAGTACTGACCCCCCAAGACAGAACCACGAGCACGAGCAAGAGGAGACGGGGGCTTGACCACTTGTCTTCGTGCTATTCCTGCTGCTCCTGCTCCTCCGCCTGGCATGAACCCTGAGGCCTCGCCCGCCAGCATCGCTAGCACCGCCACTATCCACCCTGCTGCCATTAGATCCGCCCTATCTCGACCTCACCCTACCCTACCTACCTAGCACTAAATAACCCCCACACATGCCCTACCGTGGCGAACAGAATGCACATGTCTTACCACCACCCATTTTAACCAGAAAACCACCGGTACTCGTCTTATTGTACATGGATGCAGGTGGTACCACCCCACCTGATCTTGAACGGCAACACAGTAGGAAGGGGTGGATACAGGGAGGGTGGTAAATGGTCTTGGTGGGGTCATGAAATTGGGAAAACACGGGGGTACTCTCGAAGTCATTCCCATGTGGGTAGGGTTATAGTTCAGATAGTAAAATTAAGATACGCACGCAGGGAGGAGCAGGGGTGTCGTTTAGGGTAGGTCATTGGGCGAATCTCTTCATCAAGTAGGGGTTATATTCCCTAACAAGACTTGGGAATGAGGAGGGTGGGCTGTTCACCGACTATACGGGGTGTGATATGTGCTAAATTGCTTACCCGTATGGTAATTACATGCGATGCAGACGTGGAGGGGGCGAAGACAGGAGGAAATGGCAGGGAGGGAGCAGGGGGAAGTGGGGGGGGGGGGGTTGTGGGAGAGGGGAGAGGAAGAGGAAGAGGAGAAGAGAAGCGATGGAGAAGATGGAGAGATTCGGGGAGGCTCATGAAAAAAGAGTGTGATTGAATTGAAAACCTGTCCTCTACCAACAGGATGAAGGGGTTGTACGGCATGATGCAGGGAGGGAGGGGGGTTCTTGAAACATGCGGGGGCATGATTCCATGGAAATAAAAGAACATGCTGTAGGCAGTAGATCCTTTCGAGGAGAATATGATGCGTTGTTTGGGTGGAGGATCATTTCATGGAACAAGGGTTGTAACAATGTGCTTGTTGAGGCAAGGGGAGAAGGGGAGATGAGATGTACCTTTTGCTATCATTGGCAGGCCACGTGGAATGAAACGAATATCAATGGAACGTTCTAATCTCGATTCCTCAGATTGTTGCTGGGGACAGGCGTCAAGTCTGAGATCAAGATTTGAATGCTGTGATACTCCTTGTAACCTGGTGACCTGGTGAGCGAGGACAGGTTGCAAGCTCTGAAACATGACGCGAGTTTCTTGGCAGAAAGATGAGGACTCGGAAGAGCAACGGAGTCTCGTCGGATGATCTGACGTTGGACAAGTAGCTTCATGCGAAATGTTCCCCACACTGACATCGATGACAGTCTGCCGCTGGGTTGGAAGCATAGAGAAGGCGAGGAGGGGAACATGATCTACACAACGAATGATGGTATCAGACTGAGCACGGAGGAAGAGGCAAGAAGATACCTCGTGCGTCTCGTTGGGTCTGGCGGGGGTGCTCGTTGACGGCTGGAGCAGGAGGAGAAGAAGATGAAGGAGGAGGATCAGACTTTGATCCTCGAGAATCTTGTCTGGAAAGTCGATCGCAGGCGGAAACAGTGCGAGCGTGTCTTGTTTCTGCTCGAGCTATGCTGACGGTTGATGGAAGGAGGGTGAGCGAGAACGGAGGAAGCAAGAAATACCAGGTAGGCTTCTGTCGATGATGTCGTTGGAACCTACAGGTTGACATCTTGTTGAAGTTGCGGCACAGCGATGGGAAAGACGAGGCCTCTGAGATGGGTATGAGGAGGTTTGTCCAATAGCGAAGCTGTTGTTTGACGCTCAGGGAGCAGGAAAGAGCGCCACAAGCAGCAAGGCCAAGGCAGTTATCCCTTCCTACCTTCGCTCGCGCTTCGGGGACAAGGGCTCGGCGTACAAAGACGTGGCTCCGTCTCGATCCATTGAGTTTCTTTCTCCTCATCGGAAGGCCAAACGGCAGGAGGAGGACGACGAGGATGACGATGAGGAGAAGGAGGAGGAGGAGACGACATCTCAGAGTCGGAACGCGTCGGACCACGACGAGAACAAGTGCGAGGAGAAGACCCCAAGGAAAAGGACCAGGGATTGGCATAGCTCCTGTGATAACAACGGGTTTTTTTTGGGGGAAGGGTCCCGTAAGCAGAGAAAGAAAGGTTCGAGGAGGAGAAGAGGAGGAGCGGGATAAGAATTTTGGGGGGGGGGGGGGGGCGGGGGTTGGAAGAGAGGTGCGAGGTGTCTGATATCGTTTTCACTAGGATCCCCGCAACTGGATGACCTCCGAGCTTTTGTGATGGATCGCAAGTCATACTGGGGGGACGAGATTGCTTTGCGAGTGTTTGCGGACAGATTCAAGATTGTCGTTTGTGTTGTGCTTCAAGCAGAAGAAAGACTGCAGGAATGTGGAAGAGAGGCATTACA